ACTCAAGACCTGCCTCCATTGGCCCGCCTGAACTAGTCCAATCGGAGGCTAACCCGGCCCGGATCCGATCGATTTTGTCATGCAGGTAACACCCAAATTCCTCTGCCCGACCCTGCAAAGGGACGTCCCGGACCCTCTGATGAAGGAGGGAGCGGGACACCCTAAACAGGGCGGCAGATCGGTTACCTGCAGACGCGATGAGAGCGGAGAAATAGTTTCTCACTAATTCCATCCAAACAGGAACTATAAAATCAGGAAGCAATATTTATTATTATTTATCACTAATTCCATCTAAACTAATTTATCACTAATTTATCACTAATTCCATCCAAACAGGAACTATAAAATCAGGAAGCAAAAAACCCACCTGCTTACTTTACTGCAAAGGCAACATTAAGAGATGAAGGCCTTAATCTCCCACCAAAAATATTTACCTTTCATACAGGTTGCTCATAGTTATTGACCGACGAATAGCCTAAGGAAAAATAAATGAAAAATGCCCTATTTGGGTTGATGTAAAAATAAGTGGTAAAGACTCTTAAACATTATATACTTCAGGAAACACTTCGAATGAAACATGTTTCAGGGAGTGGAAATTATAGGAACTTTCTGTCACATTAGAACTCACCAATAACACAGACACAGATAACTGAACATAGGTTGAGAAACTCTGTTCCAGGTAAATAAAGATAGTTGTAACTTACTATTGGGCTGATAATCCAGGCTAGGAATCTTCGTATCCAATAAGGTAATTTTAGTATCAGCAGGGTACTCTTTAGATTTGGATCTACGGGTTCGCCTTCACTGAAAGGCAACCAAGACAATCCAAGTAAATAAATAAAATGCTAAGGGAATTTTCAAAATGGATGCTATCTTCAGGCATCAGCTATCACTGCTGGCATCCAGAAATGTGTTTGCCATGCGAATTAGCAATTTTGATTAATCTGTAAACCAAGAGAAAAATCCTACTAAATCAGACATTTAGGTGGTCCTTGCGTCAAAACCATTTAACGACAATCTGGAATTACAGAGGGTTTTGAAAAGGGTGTTTTACGGCCAATAAAGCTTTTCCAGCAATCATAAAATGTTGCGCTATCACTCTGCAGTCACGTGATCGCAATCTGTGTACTTGGTAGAAGTGGGCTTTATGTAGAATCTTACTTCTCTCCGTTGTGAAAGGTATCCATTTATTCTAACCTTCATCCTAAACCGTTTTTTTTACCAATTACTGATTTATAGAAGGACCTCTTAACTCATTACCTGTAAATTTCTTCAAGGATTTTCAATGAGATCAGTATGGTAAAGTGGCTGGATTCAAAATCAATGTGAATAAGACTAAAATTCTTACAAAGAACATGATTGCTAGAGACAAAAATCAACTTACGCAAATGTCAGGATTTGAAGTGGTTAATAAAGTCAAATATTTGGGATTTTTTTTGTCATCCTCCAATGCGAAATTGTATCAGAATAATTATGAAAGATTGTGGAAATTGGTACAAAAGGACTTACTAATGTGGAAAAAACTACAGCTTTCTTTGCTGGGTCGTATAGCGGCCATTAAAATGAACATTTTGCCTAAGTTTCTTTTTTTATTTCAGATGATACCTATATTAAAAAACGAACTTAACTT